CTCGCACGCAACATGATCAAATGTGAATCTGGTGTCCGGATTTCCGAGCCAGGTTAAACTATGAGCACTATCTTGCCTGATGCATGTATCATATCCTTCTGCAGCAATCTCGTGGCTACTCAGTGGTCGAATTCTTATAAGCACCTGAAAAACACGCGGGAAGTTGCAAAACCGAGGAAAGAATGGAACTTTCAGCCAGAAGAGAAAGTGACAATGATATAAAGTAATACCTGGACACTGTGCTCCAGCCAAAACGAACTGTCTTCCTCGAGATCAAAAACGGGTTGGCAGTCCGGATGGACGGCCGCAGAATTAAAAACTTTAGAGCTGTTATGTCCTGCCCTCTGTGGAGTGGAAGATCCATACTTCAGAGATTTGGAGATGATCTTCCTGGGCGTGGCCGCATCATTGCTGCTTCCGGCCGTAGAATGGCTGTCCTTCTCGGGCTTTGAGCTACGAGGAGTACCTGCCTTATGCGTGCTTTGATGAGGGTTCTTGGGTATCCCTGGCTGCTGTGGGCGATGACTCGCTGGCTCACTCTCGGCTCCAAGATTCTTGACTTGTCTCTGGTACCAAGAGAACTTTCCCTTCGGCCGCTTCTCGGGAGTAATCAAGAGATTCTCCGGGACATTCTCGGAATGCGGGAACACGCTCGCGAAGCTCATGCTACTGCCCTTCTTCCCTCGGGGCGTGGCGCTGCTGCTAGGGCCTGTTTCTTGGTGGTGCGAGGACGGGAGCTCGTGTTCCAGGAGATGATCGCGATCCGTGTGGCCGCTTCCCGGATTATGCTTGGCCCCGCCTCTGGGAGAGCTCCCTATGAGCATCCGGAGAGGAGAAACCTTCGGCATTCTTGAATCCTGGCAAAATCTACCCCTACACTCACTGCTACCTCGCGCAAGGCGCTGCCGCTGTCGCAAAACAGACCCCCGGCGCTCGATCGACCGCACCCTGGCCTGCCACGAAGAACCCTAAATCGGCAGCGCGGACGCCTGGCACGCTGCAACAAATGCCCCAGTGACTGAGTCCGGGCATTTTTCGTCTGGGCCTAGATTTCCATGGATGGGGCAGGTTTAGGGCTTTAGTTCCTTTGCACGAACGCAGATCGCGCGGCTGGATTTAAAAGCTCGCAATCGAACGGCTGTCGTGCACGGGCGGCAACGGTCGATTGTTGTGGGACCCAAGACTTTATTTTTGGCCAGAATCGAAACCGAAACCACTGGCACCAGCTTAATTAATCTGGTAGCGTGCTTTTAACATAAACAAAGAATACTTTATTTCCATGCTTTCTTTCCACGGAAGTTCTTCGTCAATCTAGCCTTGGATTTTCGATGCTCGCGAGTTCGAGCGGATTTCATGCGCCGAGCAGCCACTGGGAGGTTCTTTTTCTTCTCCTTTTGGCGATTACTCAAGCCTCCAGTCTAAATCCAAACAAACAAAATCTAACGAGTGATCTAGCGAAAGAAAAACATACCTTTCGTTTCTTTACTGCTGCTCGTGAAGTATAGGTGCCTCTGTCGTCCCTTCCGGCCTTGGACGAAGCAATTCTCTCTTCTTTGCTTTGCTTTCTCCGTATGTTTGCCTGTAAGTAAAGCAATACAGAGTGAGCGCTTCGTGCTGAAAGAAAGAAATGAAGAGCTTACCTCTAGTTTTGAAGGATCAAGCGGACGTTGGTTTTGTGACTCCGAAGCGATTTCCTAAGCCCGTGATTGGAGAGAGCATTTTCAGCTTCTCGCTTGGCCTAAAAAGGAAAGGAAAAAGGAAAAAGTGAAGTCAAAGTGGTACCGAGTGGTGATAAGTACCTGAATCTCTCGAATTCGTCGGAAGTCTTCGTTTGATAAAATGCCATCGCCAGAGACCTCGTCATCCTCCAGTTTGCTACCCGCAAACTTTTTAAGTTGGCTCAAGCTCATGTCGTCAAGGTTTGATTCCTCGCCGTCCATTTTCTTTCGCTTAAGCGTTGCGACCTGTTTCGTTTCGCCATTCTTCAGTTCCTTTTCCAAAGTCTCGAGCACATCTTCATCTGACCCTTCGTTGTCATCTCCACTGTCTTCATCATCTTCGCCTTCGTCATCTTCTTCGTCTTTTTCTTCGTTGTCATCTTCTAGCTCTTCTCCACTGCCTTCACCCTCATCCTCGCTACTTTCTTCTTCCTCTTCTCTTCCACTTTCGTCATCTTCGTCTCCACACTCTCCACTATTGTTTTCGTCCTCCTCTTGCTCCGCCAAAAGCTCTACGCCCGGTACGTCGGTGTGGACAACGACTTTACCAAAAGCCTTTGGTTCCACGGATAAATCAGTGCCGCGACCACGGTGCTTCTTCATTAAAAGTGATGGATTAACCTGTCAAATAAAAATTTGTGTCTTTAGTAAAGACTCCCAGGCACTTAACTAACCTGGCGATAGAGTCCAATGATGGAGTTCGCAGCAGCAGATACTGCTTTTTCTCGGGATTTTTTGTACATTGAAAGATCTTCAAGAAGGTCTCTTGTCATGATCTGCACGAAAGAAAAAACGGTGAGAAAAGGAATGAGACTTATGATCTCACCAGTGGCATCCGAGCACAAATCTCACGAACGGTGTTTAGACCGACGGCAATAACCTGCGCTAGTCCATCAGCAACATAAAAACCATGAAAGATAATTTACCTCAGGCCGCGAGCGATCATGCACAAACGAGTTCACCAGTTGCTTCAGCAATGGTTCTACTGCATCAACTGGAACCTAAAACGAAGTGTCAGAAAGGAACTAAGCTTGAGTATCGGCTCACCTTATCGTGGCATGCCTGAACTGCGGCCGCAAGCAGCTGAGTTTCATCTTGTTGGTGAGGCTGCAGGCAAGTTATAATATTAAATCGGAATAGGGAACTAGTCCGCAGACTTACCGACACATAGCGCTGTAAATGAGGATAGAAACTGAGTAGTAAAAGCTGATGCATCCCCACGCATCGCGAAATAACCATAATCATCATAAGTTTCACCTATAGAAACAAAGACATATCACCATCTATGAATCCCAGAAGGTTTTCTTACCTGAAATTTCTCGTTACAGTTTTGCAAGCGCGCAAACAACTTCTCCGCGAATTCCTTGTTTCACAATACGTAGTATTTTAGCAACTTCCGAACCGAGGTGAAAAACCAGGACTAACCTGTGGATCTCGCAGATGCTCGAGAGGTGCAAAGCTTCCTTTTTTCTCCTCCTGCGCTTTTATCCGCTGCTGTTTTTTCAAGCTACGGATGGCCCTCTCTATCTTAGCTTGCTTCTTCTTCTTGCTCGACACCGTGCCTTTGTGTTGTGACTAGAGTTCACCGAAATCGAACATTTCAATAGTGCGTGATAAATCAGCCAAACCTTACCTTGTATATGGCTTCCTTGCTCACACCAACAGCTCCTGAGGGTGTGTCATCTTCTTGATCGGACTCGTCGCTGTCTTCATCGTATTTATTTTCGTAGCCATGCAGAAATTTCAAGGTAGCTATCATAATTCTACGAAAACAGTGTCAAAATGGCAGCTTAAACTTAAAGAAAACTTGAGCTAAACTCACCTCGGAGACTTGTGGAAACAAGCGTTGCAGATTGCATTCGCAGTTTGCGGATCAATCCACACCTTTCGCCTGTAGAGCTCGCAAGTCAAGACGAAAGCATGCTTTGCACGAGCTTCATCGTCTTCCTAAACGTTTTAATGTCGGTGAGCGCTCGAAGCAATAAGAAAGTAGAAAAGTGCATACCTGGATTACTGGAAAGATGATGTTCTGCAAGGACCTGTTCTTGGCTTCGTTCCTGTGCTTGCGATTCATGCGAGAGATGTTTTGCAAAAGGTGGGAGGAGACAAACTTTTTGAGATTTTTGTCTCCTGAGGATTGAAGCTTTATCATCACTGGCAAGACTTCCACGAGGGAAATTTTCTAGCAGAAAAACGAAAGGTTAAAGACCTTGTATAAATTTTTTTCACTTCCTTACCTCTCGATTGCGAAGAAGAATGAGAGCTTGCGCAAGGTGACAACGCAAAGACGATGGAAGACGATTGCTAGCATTCTCGAGTAAATTGAGTAGCTGATGCGGAAATCCAGCCAGCTCCTTGGGATACGACGGCGTAACATGAGCTAGAAACATCGCCATATCGCCCAGCTCCTTGGCGGCCGCGTGATCGGGCGCCAGAGCGGCAAACGAAACGCTCCCATTCCCAGTATCCGGCGCCTCCAGCTCAAGAACACCCAAGCACGCCTTGAAATGCCGCAGCTGCAAATCGAGCTCTGCCTCATACCCACCGGGATCCTCCTTCATTCGCGATTGCAGCAGCAGCAAATCGGCGTGCGGAGTCACCTCCATCGCGCACTCCAAGAGCCCTAAAATCAAACCAGAGTGATAAACCCTAAACTCTCATTGGACGGCTAGCATTTAATTCCAAGGTTTATTCTCCTTTATTCCCACCGATCGAACGGTCACTATTCATCTTTAGCAAAAATCTTTGTACACAGACACCTAGCTTTAGAATGCCGATCCACTGCCCCTTCTCTGCCCGAGCAACACGTCCTTGGCCTCGTTGATCTTCGTCGCGAGGTAATCGCTCCCTCCAGCATCTGGATGATTCGCGACCATCACTTTCCTGTGCGCCTCTTTGATCTTCTCCTGGGCGACGCTTTCCCTGTCCGCAAGAGCTTTGGACTCGAATCGAGAGAGGAAAAACCCTTACCTCACGCCAAGGATCAGCGCGGCTTCTCGTCTCGTCATCGTCGGCTGGAAACCGCCCTCGTAGAATTTTCGCAATCGCGGCACTGCCGGTCGCGTCCGGAACGCGTGCCATGCCTCAACCCCATACTTCCCAGCTATCGCAGCTGCGGCGATCGCAACTCCAGCAATGAATGGCGTAGCCTGCGAGATTGGGGCATCAGCACGCTGATCGATCGATCCCATTCACTCACCATACTTCCCTGGCGAAGCGCGCTTCGCTCGCTCGTAATCCCTAACCCTAAAAACGCCATAGCCAGAAAATGGACGGCGGAGATCTTTTGAGCAAGAACCCTAAGCCCTAATTTCTCTTGGCGAGGCGGCGAGAGAGCGATGGCGCAGCGGCTGACTTACCGGAGGCGCCACAGCTATGCGACCAGATCCAACCAGACCAAGGTCGTGAGAACGCCGGGTAAGTCTCTCCTCCCCTCTCTCTCGTTCTCGATCGATGCATTCTCACGGATTTCTCTCAGGTGGGCGTCTCGTCTACCAGACCGCGACGAAGAAGGCGAAGGGGCCGCGATGCGCGATCACCAAGAAGCCCATCATCGGGGTAAGGCATCTCGATTCTCTCGCTTTCTCGCTGCTTAGCGCTAGCTCTTTGATCTGTGCTAGGTTCCTCGTCTAAGGCCGATGGAGTATAAGCGCTCTCGCATTGCTAGGCACAAGAAATCCATCAGCAGGGCCTACGGTGGATCCATGTCCGCGTCGGCAGTGCGCGAGAGGTAAAGTATCGATCGATCTGTCAATGGGATCTCTCAAAATAAAAACTTTGGTTCTTCCAGGATCATGCGAGCTTTCTTGGTGGAGGAGCAAAAGATCGTGAAGAAGGTCCTCAAGGTCCAAAAGGCGAAGGAGAAGCAAGCCGCCAAAGCCCAAGCTTAGACGATCTAAAGAATGTGGCCTCTTTTTTTGTTTGAAATTTTAAAGTCTCGACGTTCTCGTTTTTCTTTCTAGGGTTTTAGATAGGGTTCTTGCGGAGGATTTGATGGCGCTGGGGAGAGCGCTCGCCTCGGCCGCGAGGAAAGCTACTGCCGATTCCATTCCAAGATCCTACATTGCGTCTCGATCGGTGACAAGGTGTAGATATTTCGTGTTGTTTTCTATTCCATAGCCTCAGTCTCGCAGATTTCGAGCTGCTGCCTCCTCCGCGGCGCATTTCTCCATCCCGTTCCACAATGCGACCGCGCAAGCTCGTCTGGTCGCGAGATTGAGCGCTGGAGGGAATTTCACTTCGTTTGCGTTGTTTCAAGGTACGTGAAATGGTGAACTTTTTTTCTTGTTTTCCTGAGCATTCATGCATTGGAGTTCGTATGTGGAATTTTTTTCCAAATCTTCTATGTTCATGCCAAAGTATTTGTGTGTGTGCTCGTGTGTGTAGATGATGAAGGCACATAGTGATGTTTCCAGCGCCCCTAAATGACATTGCAATTTTTTTTACCTGCTTAGATGATCTTGATGACACCTGATGGTGCGGCTGCCTTGACGAATTGTTCTTGATTGCTGGAGAGGCTATAGCTGCTTTTCATCTTTCATTTCTTTTCTCGTTTTGAAAAATCTCTCACTTTTTCGGCTCTCATGATCGCGGTGTGTTGTTAGAACTCGGCTCAGCGCAGCCTCGATGATTCCCGGGGTGAGTAAGCCATCGCGTCATTTTGTCCAAAGATGACTCTTAAACGTTTTTGAAATTCAAGCTGAGATTGTTTCATTAAGGTTCGCTATTCATTCATTGGGTTTTACTTTGCACAATTTGGGCCCGTCTGGAATGGTTCTTCACTTCCACTGTAGGCACAAATGGTGAAAGCCAATACCGAGGAGCAGCTATGGCAGCTATTCTTTGAAGACCCATCTTCCTGGTGGGACAATAGAACTGTGAAGGTAATTCTTGGTTCTATCTCATAAGTACTGAATAGATATCTTCTGTCTCTTTTCCTTTTCCAGAGTAATCCGAGATTTCCAGACTTCAAGCATGCAACAAGCGGAGCTAGTCTCTGGATCAATTCCCGGACTCCCAAATGGGTGGCACCAAAACTGTCGACTCTGACTCAGACATCGTGCAGTGAAGTTCAGTTTCGAAAATCATGTGTTGGAAGCTCGGTGAGGAAGAAAGAAGTTGGCAAGCACTCGCTGGCGGCATATCTCAAATTGCTAGACGATGGAGTAAAGCCGGCTACTGGGTCAATCCTCGCTGCGTTGAAGGTCTGTAGCAGCTCACGAGATCTCCAAGCGGGTAAGAAGATTCATAAGGACGTAGTTGACAGTGGTGAACTCTCCAACATATTCATCTCTAACACTTTGATTGACATGTATGCAAAGTGCGGGAGCATGGCTGAGGCTCGGCAGCTGTTCGACAGCATGAAGCACCGCGACGTAGTTTCATGGACTGCAATTGTCCAGGGATATGCAAACTCTGGGGAAGGGGAACTGGCTCTCAAGCTTTATTCAAGAATGCAAGACGAGGGCCACAAATGCAACAGAGTCAGCATCCTGGCTGCGCTGAAAGCGTGTGCTAGTCTGGCAGAGAAAGAAGACAATGAACTACTCGGTGGCAAACATCTCAAGGTGAAGTGCCTGGGAAGGGTCAGAGCTTTACACCCTCAAGTAACTGGCAACGAGGCCGAGCTGGACCTTTTCGTGGCGAACAGTCTGATCGATGTTTACTCGAAGTGTGGGAGCATGGCAGATGCTCAACAGGTTTTCGACAAAATCCAGCATCACAGTGTGGTCTCCTGGAACTGCCTTATTCAAGGTTATGCCGAAAGCGGGCAGGGTGAACAGGCACTAGATTATTACGAACTTATGCAAAGTAGAGGCTTCAAAGCGGATACAGTGACACTCGTAGCAGCATTGAAGGCCTGCGCTTGTTTGGCAGAAGGAGAAGAGAGAAATGGGATGTTTGTCAACCTCCGCAGAGTGAGAGCCATTCACACTCTAGCTGCTAGCAACTGTTTGGTGGACGTTGTCCTGGCGAATACTCTTGTTGATTCTTATGCGAAGTGTGGGAGCATGGTGGATGCTCGTCAAGTTTTTGAGAAAATGGAGCAGCATACCGTGGTTTCATGGACAGTACTCATTCTCGGGTATGCTCAGAACGGGGAATGCGAAGTGGCACTGGAGCTTTATGCTCGTATGAAAGACGAAGGTTGTGCAGCCAACCTCGTGACAATTCTGGCTGCTCTCAAAGCATGCACAGGTGTTGCTGAGAAAGCGTTCGCTTCAGGAACAGTTGCCAGGACGGAGTGCATTTGGAAAGGCAAGAGTATCCATGCTGAAGCTGCCAGAATTAGCGTGGAGATGAACCAGTCTGTGGCGAACACTCTGATCGACATGTACGCGAAATGTGGCAGCTTGGAAGATGCTCTTCGAGTTTTCCAGTTTATGAGGCGTCACGACGTTGTCTCCTGGAACTGTCTCATACATGGTTTTGCCAAGTGTGGCAACGGAGACGCGGCTCTTGAGATGTTCTCGTGCATGAGGGACGAAGATCATCCTCCGGATCGCATCACTTTTATTGCTGCTTTGAAGGCCTGCGCGAGCTCTGCTGAACAAGAAGAAGCCAAGGTCGTCGATGGGAGAGCTGTGAAGCAAGAGTGCTTACAACGAGGCAGGACTATTCATAAGAGAGCTGCAGAGAGCCTGGACATACTGGATCCGGCAATGCTCAACACGCTGGTGGACACGTACGCGAAGTGCGGAAGTATGGGGGATGCTCGGCAGGTGTTCGAGAGTATGCAGGAAAGGAGCGTGGTTTCTTGGAACTGCATAATTCTGGGATATGCACAGGCAGGAGAGTCCGAGATTGCTCTACAGCTTTATGCAAAGATGAGAGACGACAAAAACTCGTGTTTGCCAGACGCCGTGACTTTCACAGGTGCTTTCAAGGCTTGTGGTGCGCTGGGGGCGCTGGAAACAGGGAAGCAGATCGAAGCCGACGTTCGTAGTGCCGGACTTGACACTGACACTATGGTGCTGAACTCTCTCCTCGACTTTTACTGTAAGTGTGGGAGCATGCCCGAGGCCGAGCGGGTTTTTAGCTCCGTTTCTGCGAAGACGCAAGTTACGTGGGCTGCACTGATGGCAGGCTACAGCTCCATCGGACAGACGCAGCGTGTTTTTCAGCTGTTCGAGGACATGCAGCGGCATCGAGTTCAACCCGACGATGTTACGTTCCTCACACTTCTCAGCGCGTGCAGCCACGCGGGGCTTGTGGACAAGGGAAAGGAGTACTTCCAGGCAATGAGCTCTAACAAGTTTGGAATAAGTCCAAGCCGGCAGCATTACTCGTGCATGGTGGATATGTTGGGCCGGGCAAACCAGCTGGACGAGGCCGTGACCATGATCCAGAGCATGCCGGGCAAAGCAGACGTGGTGATATGGATGGTGCTTTTGGCCGCTGCTGAGAAGTGGAAGAACGTGGATGCTGGGAGGTTGGCTTTCGAGTCACTCATGAAACTGGATGCGAAGAATGCGACGGCTTATGTGCTAATGTCCAACATCTATGCCGGTGCTGGAATGCTTGAGGAACTGGTCCAGATACAAGACATGTGCAGGCAAAGTCACCACTAGCGACCATTGACGTTCCGGCTTACTTCCTTCGCCTACGAGGACCTTTTTCTTCGGAATCAGAGTCGACTTCCTTGACCAGCTGCTGCTTGTTCTCGTTCTCCTCCATTCTCAGCTTCCGGAGATCGCCTTCGATGGTTCCTTCTTCCGGAATCGACCTCGACTTAAGCATTGCTACCACCTCATGCATCGTTGGCCGGTGCTCTGGCAAGTTCTGTGCGCACAAGGCGGCAACCTGGATCATCCTCGTCAGCTCTTCTCCGTCATACTTCCCCTCCAGCCTGGGATCCGCGAGCTCGTCGAATCTTCGCTCCATCACCAGCGGTGCGGCCCACTGGATGATGCTCCGCTTCTTGCCGGGACCAATCTTCTCGATCGGTTTTCTACCTGTCACCAGCTCCAGCAGCAGGATACCAAAGCTGTAGACGTCGCAGCTCTCCGACACTTTTCCCCACATCGCGTACTCGGGTGCCAGATATCCCAGCGTGCCTTTGACGCGGGTGGTGAGATGAGTGACGCCGTCGGGGATGAACTTGGCGAAGCCGAAGTCGGCAACCTGAGCTTGGAAGTTCGAGTCGATGAGTATGTTGCTGGCTTTCACATCTCGGTGTATGATATGTGGATTGGCAGTGTGATGCAGGTACCTGAGAGAGCCACAGGAGAGAAGAAAAAAAGGTATGCATGAAGCTGTAAGAGGTTTGAAAGAAACTTACGCTAATCCTTCTGCAGAACCGATGGCGATTTCCACTCGCTTCCTCCAGTCGAGGAGCTTGTCCGACGAGAAGTGACCGTGGAGGTGCGATAGAAGGCTCAGGTTTGGCATATAGTCGTAGACGATCAATCTCTCCTCGCCCTCAGCGCAGTAGCCACGCAGCTTTAGCAGGTTTTTGTGATGCAGCCGTCCCAACGTCTCAACTTCCACTGCGAATGACATCTCGTTGGTGGTGTTCATCACTTTGAGCCTCTTGACGGCGATCTGGAAACATGAGGTAGGGAAAGAGACTCAAGGCTCTTCTTTTGTTGCTAATCAAAGTTTTATTTTTTTCACCTCAGATTTGTCCCCAAGCTGGCCGTAGAAGACGCTCCCAAAGCCCCCCTCGCCGAGCTTATTCTCATAGCTGAAGTTGTTCGTGGCGAATTGCAGCTCCTTCAAGCTAAAAATCTTCCACGTCCTTGCGCTCTCGTCGTCGTCCCTGAGACAGGTATGAATTCTGCTGGCCGGCACAAAATCAATCAATCCCTTTACTTACTTCATACTCCTTCCAGCGTAGCAGCATCCGGAGCTCAGCCTTTTGGTTACCCAAGACATATTCATTCGCAACTTCATCACTCGCTTGCAACGACTGATGCTGATGATCATCTCCATCGTCTCCTCGCCGTCATCACCATCGCAACAGAAGGTGAGAGCCAAGTCAATACAGCGCTTTGTGCATAGTGCAACATACGAAGGGCCACAGCTGGCCGGGTGCTACACAAGGAACAGTCGAGCGAACGCTATGAGCTCTACCACCATTAAATTAATCGGATACTTCCAAGGAACAGGTTTGCTAAGACCGATGCTTTGTTTTGTGTCGCTTTTGATTGTTCCCAGGATCTCACCACCGCTTTCGTGCAGTATTCTCTCTTCTTTTCTGGCCAAGGATGTGCATAAAACATCCAGGGGGGGCTCGTCGCTGGATCAGCGAAAGAAATATAGAGCGCGGAGAAGACTTTTGGCAATTTAGCGGCTCTTAGACGATCTTAACAGGATCGAACGCGTCCTTCCTTTCCTCGACCCAGGGATCTCGCAGGTACGCAGTGGCAAAGTTGCAATCTAGACAATCTAGAAGACAAGACTCTCTTCGTCGAGTTTCTTCCTTGCAAGTTGGTTAAAGCTACTTGATCCTCTGCGGTGATGGGTTTGGTGTTCTCTTCTCTCAAGGTAATGCTCTTTATATCTTTTAGAGTGTTCTTCTATTGTCGAATACAGGTGGAAGAAAACAAGTAAAGCTAAAACAAAAGACTTAAAAAAAGATGAGTTATTAGAACAATTTCTCTACAAATATTCAATACACATAACCAGAAAAAAATATTTCATTCGCCCTCAGAATTGAGAATCGGTCTCACCAGAGGATGCATTTGTGCCATGTACACAATAGCCCACCTAGAAAAAAAAAAAGAACCAAAGCTCCCACTCGAATTCCAATCCAGAAAAAAAAAGAGAGAGAGAGAGAGAGAAAGGCAAGAAGAACTCACAAGAGCCAGCAGCAAATTGCAGCAACAATCACCAATGTGATGTGTAACCTAGGTGGGAGTGTGAGTGAGATTTTAGCCAAGAGATTCCAATCTAGAAATCTTCTTACAGATTTGCGGAAGGCCCCTTGTTGAAGAGGACGCGGACACTCACAGATCCGAGCAGCGCCGCAACGAGAAAGACAAGGCTCGTCTCCGCGAAATTCATCCTTCAAGATAGGGAATAGAACAAACCCTAAAATGTAACCTTTGTCTTTCTTTGTCTGACTTCGTTTGAATTCGTTTGACTTATGCTTGTTTAGAAAACTCACTACATACTACTCTACAAACTCACTTCTTTTTCTTCAGGATCAGACTCAGGGTTCACTTCCATATCTTCATTTAATACCATCTCTTCTTCCATTCCAGCTCTGCAATTCGAGTAATACCAGGTAGCATCCCAGTTCACACAAGTCATATGAAACCAAGAGCCTGCACATCACCTCCATGCCTTCCTGTTTGCAGCAAGGGAGAGTGAGCACTTCCTCAGCTGCGTCCTCTTGTCAGCAACGGATGTAGCTCTCCAAACGAGACACAAAGTCGATGAAAGCTATCTGTTGCTTCATATCTACAACCACAGTCCACACTAGCACCTTGGTCCTCTTCTCTCCATCAAACAGCTCTCTTGCCACACATTTTGCAGGGCATGTTTTGGGGCCCAAAATGCAGTCTTCGTGAATTGTTGGAGAGGTACCACATGTCCCGCAGGCGTGTTTTCTGGCGCCCAAAAGAACACAGGATTGTGGAGGTACATTGCAACTTTGGATCAATTGCCCTGCATTATAAGAGTAGAGGGAGTGTGAAATATTTCATGTGAAGTATTAGCTAAGCCCCATGCGACTGAGCTCACCCATGTTCAAACACGAGGGAATTTTGCCTGCCTGGATCCGGACTCAACAGTTACAACACAACAAGGGGTGTCGGGGTGTGAACACCCCATTGCCCCAAAACACACACAAAAGCGAGAGGCTAGCCCAAGCTGTGGCACACCACACATGTTGGTCGTCCAAGTCTCCCGGTGGTTCTGCCCAAGCATTGGCCAGGAGCACATGTGTTGGGTTATATTTGAGTGATATAAGTAATGAATATATCTAGAATATTTAAGAAGATTCAAGTTTATTTTAAGATCCTAACCACAAGGAATTTTGAAGGTGATTTATACCCAATCAACTCAGGCATTCTAGGACAATTTCTAGCTTGCTACAAGTATCACGACCGGGAAGCTGCCACGCAAGCACTGCAATATAGGGTTTAAGGATCCACAGAAGTCACGAAACTGGAGAAATTGAATGGTAAAAAGCTTTGCCCCGTTAAAATGTGCCAAACACTTTCTTTCATCTTCTAAGTTTAACAGTATAGAAAGGCCTGCTATTATTTCGTTATCTTGTCTGCTGCTTGTATCCACGCCTGAGGGAGCCACCGCTCTTGTCACATATGGTGATTGAGTCATGGGGTTTCTTTTTCGTGAACGAGGTTGTGCTGATTGTTGGACGTCATAATGTTTTTGGAATGAACCTTGAGCATGCCAATTAAAAGTGCTAGAGAGATGCACCTAGCAATGAAATGCTGGCTTTCTTCACTTCTATGGCCAATTGATTTAGTTCTTGATGACTGAAAAAGGAAAAAGGAAGCCATTTGCACCTTATATATTGCAGTGGATTAGCCAATGGATGCGTCACGACTCAAGCTTATAAATTCCTCCCTTCTCGAGAGCACCTTTCTAGCATCACTCGGGGGACCAAGTCAGCACTTTGTCACCCACGACGATCCTCAGCATCGCCTCTATGAAGCGATGACATCATGTACTTCATGATGTCATCCCATTAGCAGGAGGAAGAGCATACCAATAAAACATTCAATCAGCGCACGGAAAGAACTAGACAATGACAATCCATGTACTTCATCCTCTCCGGCCATTTCTGCAGCTCAAGGAGGTCACCTTGCGTACGTGCATTCAACACTGATTCGTCCAAAGGAGGCACACCTTGATCTTTGCACAATTCCAAACAGACAAAAAACGTATTGCAAGTTGGCAAAACATAGAACATATAGTGCTCAGTACCTTTGTATGAGTTGTAGTCGATGTTGTTGTTCTGAACACTTCAGCATACACATCAAGGATGCCTGCCATAAGTGTTCACAAAAGACTGCCAAATACATTCTATCATAGTGTCTAGCAGCAATGTTTCTTTGCATCTCAACTCAGGCAGAACTAGCATTCTTAGGAAATAGTTAAGCAGAGTAATAAAAAACCAAGAAATAACACTTGATAAATTGCTCTATTTTCCTTTTGTTTCCTACACTCCACAATAAATAGGGCTTGAGGGTTTCTTTATGTCACTTATTGAGCTTGGGATCTACTGCGGTTTGGTTGTGTTCAGAACTTGGTATCCGTCCGTCAAGTATCTCGGAATCGCTTTGAGAAACAGTTCAAAACTACATTCAGATTATGTTATTTAATGCAAAACCGAGCTTCTGACCGGTCCTCATCTTGGGCCTTCAAATCAATGTGAAAACAATCACGAGGATAGAAACAATTAAAATGAAGCAAAGTTGCTTATCAAAACATATTTCTCGTTGTATTCAAAGCCTTTGAAGTCGCATGCCCTTAGCATCTCTTTGGCTTCGAAACGCCCTAATCCTGCTGTGACGGTGCAGAGATGCATTGGACATGTCAACAAAAGCGCCAGGTGATACGGTCTTATATGTGTAGATCCTGAGGAGCAAAGGGACTTCTTACAATTGCACAGCAGTAACCTTCAGACCTCCATAAAATGTGTTCTCTGCGCCCAAGCAACTCTCAATGGATCCCTCAGTCCGCCATATGTTGACAAAAGGCTCCACTCCAATGTGATATGCCGTAGGCTCAGACATGGCCTTGGCGACTTTGCTATAGCCCCGCTTGCGGCTGCCTTGCTTCATTTTGCTAGGCTGGATCTGATTTGTAGAAAACCAAGATGATCCAGTACGTTCTCTTTGACTTGATGTCTCTTTCTGTTTTCTTTCTATACAGGCCAGGGTGGAGTTTTCACTGGAATGCCTTTCGCAATTGCAAGTTTATTCATTCTGTTCGACTCAAAGTGCCTTGGCAAGAAACTAGGCTGGGGAATCAAAATCGCCAAGAGGAAGGACTTTGCTCTTGAAAGTTTCCTTTGAAGTTGGATTTGCTGGCTTACAAACAGATCACTACGAGCTCACTATGTTTCTAGGAAATCACTCTAGAAATTCTACGGGTTTCCAAAGATTGCGATTTTCAAATGTCGTGTGTAGGAAGTTACTGCTAGAAAGCACTTCTTTGGTTTTAACACCCCTAGATGAGATTTACAGTTTGGAAATCCTTTTGGTTGTGAGACCAAGCAGCTCCATCACCTCTCTCAGAATCGTCGAGTTTTCTTCTTCATCGCCCACCTCATGGTTTGCCTTCCAGGCCACTTCCTCAAAGAGCGAAGAAAGCTCCTCCTCTTCTCGCATGAACTCCTCATCCACGGCACTCGTCTTTCCACTCCCAGAAACGCGCTCACAACCTTCCTCATCATCATTAGCTACTCGCGACTCCACTTCGCCAAAGAGCTTGTAGAGCAGCTCTTCCTCTTGCAAATACCAGGCTCTCTCTTTGCGCGATTCGTTTGCTGCCCCTGTGAAGTCCATCACTCCTTTATTCATCCACAGCTGATCACTGAGCATCTCTACACCACACCTGATCTTCTCGCGAAAGTTTAGGTAGCCCTTATACTAACCTCTCATTATATACTGCTAAGACACCTTTTCCTAGATGATAATATTCTTTCCACCTTTTCCTTTACAAATACTGTATCTAAAATCAATCAAAGAAACATCGTCTGGATGATGTTTTCAAGCGAAGCTCGCTGGAGAAAGTCTCGGACTCAGACAAGGCCGTGGTTGTCGGTTGCAAAGGTACTCATTGCTTCGATCATCCTGCTTGTCTCTGCCTGACGAGATGGTTTGTGAGCAGCAATCTGGCATGGAGGAAACAGATAGTTGGATGCAATCCTTCGCAAGTTACGCCAGTGATCTCCATAGAGAGCGAAGCCAATTGCTCGTCCAAAGAGGAGCTGCTGCGCCGACTGCTTGAGAGGCCTCCTGTCCGCGAACTCGGAGCTGTTGAGCAGCTCTCGTGCCACTTCCGGCATGCTAGTGATGATCGTCCTCGTGTTCCCCAGGCTGAAGGCCATGAGCTCTTTGGCGTGGTACCTCTCGGCGACCTTGGCCAACTTTTGGTGGGCTTGGCCTCCCATCTCCGTCAAGACTCCAAGCACTGGCCATCCTCGCGGCCCCGGGATGGTCTGCTTCTTCCTCAACGTTCTCCCCCATTCATTGCCACCAAGAACAAGCCAAGCAGCCAAGATCGATCCACCAATCGAATCCAGAAGACGACTCCAATGATCTAGAGGAGGAGGAAATGCTTTCCTGGAACTCTTTGCCAGTGACCGGATAGCGCTTGGTATCCAGGGCGCCCAAGGAGGCCCGATAATCTTTTATCACAGAGGACCATGGTGGATCACCTTAAGAACGAAGCTCTAGCATCGAAAAAACAAGATAAATCGAGTCGCTCGAGCTATACTGCAAAAAAAAACAAAGAAAGAAAAAGACGAGGAGTCTCTTCTTCGATCACAGCACCTCGTCCTCCTCTTTTCTCTCCTTCCTGGCCAACAATTGCGCGTTGAGGATCTCGTTCCACACGTCTGGAACTCCCGGCAAGCACCAGTGCAAGCAGTCCTGGATCCCCGGCCTGGCATTCGCAGTGAATCGCGAGAGGTGAGCTTCTCCCCGGAACTGTGAGAGGTGCGTGATGTTCAACAGCTCCACCCTGGTGTTGGCCACCGCTTCCTCGGACAGCACGTCCCTCGACGGCCTGTTTGAGACGTCCACCCCGAAAGCTTTGATGTTGTCGCAGCGCCCACCCGAGTTCCAGTCCCCGTTCATGAAGTGCCTGGGCGAGAGAGCTGTGAGAACGCCTCGGAGCTCCGGCCTAGCACCGATCTGCCTGTCCAGCCACCTCACCACCTTCTTCACCGCAAACTGGTGCGAGTAGCTCACCGATGCGAAGCGGGAGCCTTTGAGCGCCACCTTCTTCCCACCAACGTACATCTCCCACTTGTTCCCGTTTATCTTCCCCGAGTTCCAGTGGTGTCCCGTGTTGAGGATCACCAGATCCATCCGGGCTACGTTCCTCTTGAGGAAATCCACCGGCCTGTCCAGATGCATCGCCGCAGCCGAGCTCGGATCGGTCGCGTTGTAGAGCTTGATCTTGCAGAGACTTGCTGACCAGTAGAAGAGGATGGTGGTGTTCGTTTCCGTGAACCTGTATGCCCAGCCATTTGGTCGGAGAGACCACGTAGGCCGCTTGTCGAAACCATACTCCTGTCCAGCATCGGTCGCTACCATGTCGTCTTTGCCTCGCGTTATCATGCACAAAAGTGACTGAAACTGTTGCCGGCCCAGAGAATCCCCCACGAAAGCGATTGTTTTGTTCTTCCATCTGTTATCGGATGATGTTTATTATTAGTAGAAGAAGAACACACTTAGAGAAGCATTATTTACCTTGAGAGAAAAACCCGGCCATCAAAAGGCGGAAGATCACATCCTTGAGGTTGCCATCTATACTTCTCGTAATCGAAGTCCTTCCTTCCCTGCACCTTGCAGGCCCACATCGAGGAAAGAAACTGCGAGCACATTTCGCCCGAGTAAAGTGGTCTGTTCGAGTCGTTCAACCATTTTCCCTTTGAGTAATCACACTGTGGAACTGAAACAATGAATAGTTTAGAGACAAGACGAAAGAAAAACAAATTAAGTAGTTCAGTACCTTGCTTGTAAACTTCCCTAACAGGAGACGCTTTCCTTGTAGCAAGCTCTGGGTAAAAGTAAACAGCCAAACTTTAGAGAAAGGAACAATCGCTAGAACCGAAAACATTCTATAAGATCTAGGAGTGTGTTTTTTTTGTTTTGTTTTGCGGTTCTAGATTTTTAAATTCGAGGTGGAGAGATTTGCTCGACCTGAAACCGTGCTATTTAGCAACTCCATGATGCTGCCATCGTGCGAGACAGCAATCGATTTGGAGAATCTAGATAGATCGAGTGCCCCCGCAAACAAAGCTACATTCATGAATGCCAGTGAAAGAAAAAAATCTAAAGAATGCTCAGCCTAGAATCCAAAAAGCTGGACAAAACGTACCAAGTTCCAGGCGAAGCCCCGGCCCCCATGCTCTCGATCCGAGCACACTCGCTGCCGGCGATCCCTCCCACCCGAAAACCACGATGAATCCACACAGCACCGCGAGCATGAGGACAAGCGCGCGCCTCGCTCGCATCCCATACAAGATCGCTCCTCCTCCGCCGCCGCCTCCTACCGCCTTGAAATGCTGATCGGAATCCCTCTTTCTCAGCTTCTCGCCCGGGATCAGCACCATGATCGCCAAGAACCTCATCGCTGCCGATAATCCGCCATCGCTTGCGCGAAATCTTCGCCCCCGCCACAAACCCTAGCTACGACAACAAAGAAGCCCAGACCCAAGGCAAACCAACGCAACAACTGAAGCTCATGAGACAGGTATACCATCAATATTTTTACTCGCTACGCGTTCCAGCCATTAACTGTAGAACGGTAAGATTTTGCAATCACGTACTATACGAATATTCTCTGCCACCTGTTTCCTAACGGCCGGATTCGTAGGGTAAAATGGAAATATCCATACGAATATTCATTCTACCTGTCGTGTAACGGCCGGTTACCGGTTCAGCCGGTTTGCGCGAGGCATATTCCAATCCCGTGTTCTTCGCGTCTAGGGTTTTGTTTCGAGGGGGCGATGGAGAGGAGGGATTCGCTGCTGGTCATGGCGCTGATTTTTGTACTGTGCTTCGTCGTCATGGCAGTGCGTATGCCAGTTCCTCCTTCATCGGTCACAGGTTTGTGGATCTTGCTCGATATTTCGCGGAATTTTTTTTATTTCGCTAGTGCTAGACGGCGCCGAGGCCAGGAGCGATCTTACCAGGAGCCACATCTTAGCTGAGATGGAAAAATTGCGGATCCAGGGCAAGAAGTACACGCCGCGATACTACAAGCCGGGCGCATTCGCTGCTAATGCCGCCAGTGGCAAGCAAGGGATCCGGCGACGCAAATCTTCTTCTTCTCCAGCAGAATAAAATTCCGGTGAGCCGATCGCCTGCATTGCACCATCGTGTAGATATATGACCGCTGCATCCATGTATAATATTTTTCTTTCTAAGTCTTTGATGGAGGATTGGTGACACCGATCTTCTCCCTTTTGGATTCTCTTTAGAAATTTTTGCTAGGATAGGTAGAGTGCATCTCTCTTGCTGCGAGCTTCCTAGCGCTTGCCGTGATTCTTTTCTAGTGAAAGAGTACAAGCATTTTCTACTGCCTGTCATCTTCAAGCTGCTACAGGCACAGCCACCACTGACTTGTTTTCCAGCGCTGGCCTTTTCACGACTTTGGCAGAAGACCAGAGATCAAGGATCACGTACAGGGGACTACCGACCAAGAGTACTGCGAGCTGGATCCAGACTTGAAGTGCGATCCCAGAGTTTTTGGAGATCGGGAACAGGATTCCTATCCAAAAGGTGGAGGCAGCGCCAGCGGTACCAAGCAGATTGAAAACAGCCCAGATCTCGGGTTTGTGGCCGTGGAAGATCCTAGCAGTGATGGCGAAGACATGGCTCGTGAGAACGCCATCCGCGATTCCAAAGAGAAGTCCAGCGACGTAAGCCAGCAGCGGTGCTCCCAAGAATGGAATCCCGAAGAAGCAGCCGATCTCGTAGCTGGAGATACGCCGGTGATCTTGGAGTGGGAAACAAGCCATTAGTCCTGCTCCACTGGCTGTTGCTCCCACCAAGAAAGTTGGCGTCCCACAACGTAGGAGATCCGACAACCAGCTCAAGAAAAAGGATCCGATCACTTGACCGATTCCCGTGAAGAACAGGACGATTCCGATGGCGTTTGCTGGCAAAAGCTTGGTGAACTCGCCACTCCAAAACGCTGTTTGGCAGCCCAGGTAGCAAGTTATTGGCAAGAGAAGAACGAAGGGGAGCAGCGTCCGCCAGGTCCGGCTTTTCTCTACGTCTTGGTCCAGATCCTCCAAGCAGGCGGAACACTTGATCGACTCTTCGTCAACTTTCTCTTCACCACCGCCAGAGACTTCGGCTTTGTCAACCCGGTGACCAACTTTGTCAAGATCATCACTTGCCGCTCGACTGGAAGGCTCAACATCATCGACCAAGAGCAAAACGAGAACACCGACGGTCGCACTGACGCTTCCCAGGCCGAACATCGCCGACTGGGAGAGAAACCTGAAGACCATGAACGCCGCCAAGTTTCCAACGATGCTGGAGAGCGAGCAGATCCCCCAGAAGACTCCGGTGAAGAGGCCGCGCTTGGAAGGTGGCGTACACTTGGTGAGAAAGGTTCCCTGCGCGACCCAAGTCAAGCTCGCTCCAAAGCCACACAGGACGCTGGAGCCGAGAACTATGGACCGGTTTGGCCTGACGAGCGAAGCCAGATACGTCGCGTGAGCCAGGCCGCCCAGCATCATCGAGCGGAGCTCGCCGATGGAGGAGACGATCGTCGGGGCCGCGAGAGTGGAGGCACAGAGAGATGCTTGCAAGAGGAACAGGGACTTGTCGCCGAGGTGGCCAGGGAGAAGCGAGGTTATGTACTCGGAGAGAGCGTCCATGGCGCTGTAGACGCAGAAGAAGGAAGCGGCGAGCTTTGCGACGGTGGAGATGGAGTTGCAACTGGGCGATGATCGGGATTCCTTGGAGCAGCAGCAGCATTCTCTCTGGCGGTGGCGTGATTGGAACCGATCGTTCTCCTCTAGATCGTCCTGGTGGTGGTGGTGATCGTGATCGTGATCGTGATCCTGGTGATTACTTCCGAGAAGAGGAGCTTCCAGGATCGACGCAGGCATGCTGGGAACGATGGATTCGATCGATCAAGCGCGCATGCAGAGATTGGTACTTAGAGCCGAAGATCGAGGAAGGCATGCAAACGAGGATGTTTTTTTTTTTTTTTTTTTTTTTTTGTTCCTGGCGCTAAAGCTGGAGTTCCGGAAAGGAAAGGCCAGGTGACTGGAAGACGAAGACGGAATGTGTGGTGCAGTCGCCACGGTCGTAAGTTTGGCGGTCGCAGTCTAACGGTATTCCATTGATGTTACGTGTTGGTTCGTTTTATCCAAGGTGACGGATCGATTCATGTCAAGACACAACATAGATTCGATCGCAACATTGACAAACTAACAAGTTGTGTCGGTAGCATTCTTTTCGGAAGCGATCGACGCAATGTTGGTGTCATCCCCGCCCCTCGTAAAATATCCACAATCGGACCATACTATGATCTTTGGTTGCCCGAAAGGAGAGGCTTGATATATCGCAAAGTCTGCGCAACTTTAGCCTGACGTGCCAACTAACAATACTTTTTTTTTCTAGGGTAAAGTCAGCTGAATCGCAGCAATGTGACCAGATTCATTGAATGCCCTGGACGACGACTTTCACTCTTCGTCCTCGTCACAGTTGGCAATCTCTCCTCTTTATAAGAACCCTAACACGGGGCTTTACAAAAATCTTGCGACCTAAAGGGATTTATAGCACTGTCGGAAGATTGTGGCCAGGCGCCAAACGATCTCTTCGTGTGCTTCGAGGCGATCGAGTCATCGATTGGCATAGCAGGCTTGGGCATCGCGGTGAGTGCTCATGCATGGATTGGATCATAGTTTTGAGATCGATCGGTCGATCGCGTGGATTGATCGATCTCTTTTGTCGGTGTGGTTGAAATAAAGGTCGCGGCGGCGCCGTGTGTAGACTGGCTTCAGTGGACCTCCCGACTGGGACGTACATTTGAGAAATTTCGTTTCCTGTTCTTGGCAGTGCTCTTGGCGTCTTCGCATATGATATGACTTCTTTTGTTGGTTTTTTCCTTGTCCACCCATCGAAAGCGAGAATCTCAACTCTCTTTCTCCGTGTGCGCCAGGTCTAGGAGGAGTTTGTCGATCCCTTCTCGCTTGTAGCTCGATCAAATGGCGGGGTCAGTCCACACGGACGACAGCGACTCGGAGCGAGCAGCCCGAAAGCCGAGCGATGGCCAGCGCCCGGAAGAACTCCCTTTTGTTCACAAAGTAAGCGTTCCTCCTAGCACTCCGCTCCACAGTGGCATCAAAGATACGATCAAGGAGACGTTCTTCCCGGACGATCCTTTCCTCCAATTCAAGAACCAGACCAAAGGGAGGAAGTTTGTCCTCGCAATTCTCTACGTCTTCCCGATCCTGGAATGGGGGCCAAAGTACCGGCTCAACCTCTTCAAGCGAGACTTTGTCTCCGGCTTGACGATAGCCAGCCTCTGCATTCCACAGGCAATGGCTTACGCCAAGCTTGCTCACCTCCCGCCCGAGTATGGACTTTGTAAGTTCTCCCTCTTTTGACTTTTGATCTCCTGTGTTCTTCCAGACATGGAAAGGCTAAAGCTCGGTTTTGCAGACTCGGATGTTATTCCACCTTTCGTTTATGCGGTTCTAGGAAGCTCAAGGCACATCGTCGTCGGACCGGTTGCTGTGGTGTCGATTCTCTTGGGAACTCTCCTGAATGCCGAAGTGAACTACAAGAAGGACCTTGCGACTTACCTTCAGCTTACATTCACTGCGACGTTTTTCGCGGGGCTAATTCAGGCTGGACTCGGGATCCTCAGGTTGACCTTTAAGTTTACAGAAGACAAAACGGTTTCTAACAACGTCAGTCGTCATTTCAGGCTGGGATTCATCATAGACTTCCTTTCTCATGCCGCTGTGGTTGGATTCATGGCGGGCGCCGCCATCACTATTGGCCTGCAACAGTTGAAAGGGCTGTTTGGAATCACGGACTTCACTACGAAGACTGACATCGTCTCAGTTTTGAAATCCGTCTTTAGTCACACCCACCAGGTTCTCTATCCTTTTTCTCGTTTTCTTCTTCTGCGGACACACTAAAAATGTTTGGCGATGCAGTGGAACTGGCAAACTATCCTCATCGGTCTTTTCTTCCTCGTGCTTCTACTCGCTGCCAAGTTTATTGTAAGTCAGATTGAGGTTCCTTTCATTCTGTCTTTCTTAACTTTGCTGGATTTCAGAGCAAACGGAAGAAAAGCTGGTTTTGGATCTCGGCAATAGCACCGTTGACTGCAGTTATCCTGTCGACAGCTTTCGTGAAAATCACGCGTGTTGATAGGCATGGAGTTATCACGGTACGCTGCTGGACTTCGTTTATTTTTGTTCTACATTTTGATACTTCAGGTCAAGCACATAAACAAGGGACTGAATCCTTCCTCGGCTCACTTGATTCATTTTAGCGGGGACCTTGCACTGAAAGGAGTTAAAGTTGGCATTGTGGCCGGCTTGGTCGCTTTAACGGTACAAGACTGGGCCAATCGCATTGACATTCTCATTTTCATTTTCTCAGGAAGCTATAGCCGTAGCAAGAACGTTTGCTGCGCTTAAAGACTACCACATTGATGGAAACAAAGAGATGATAGCTCTCGGGTCGATGAATATGATCGGATCATTGTCTTCTTCCTACGTTACTACGGGTACTACCCTCTATTGATTGTGACTTGCTTAACAAGTGATCGATTTTGTTTCAGGTTCATTCTCTCGCTCGGCAGTGAACTACAACTCTGGCTGTCAAACTGCGATCTCAAACGTAGTTATGGCAGTAGTAGTAATGATCGTCCTGCGTTTTCTGACACCTTTATTCTTCTACACTCCGAATTGCATCTTGGCTTCGATCATCATAACAGCAGTTCTCAGCCTCATCGATTTGAAGGCAGCAAAACTCATATGGAAGATTGACAAGTCTGATTTCCTGGCATGTATGGGTGCCTTTTTTGGTGTCGTCTTTGTCTCCGTTGAAATTGGCCTTCTCGTCGCGGTAAGAGTAGTCTGAGATGCGCAAAGAGATTTTGTCTTACCGGTTTGAAACTTCTCCCAGGTCTGCATTTCGATGGCAAAGATTTTATTATATGTTACGCGACCTCACACCGCTGTTCTGGGAAACATACCAGGAACTACTGTTTATCGCAACGTCCAGCAGTATCCCGAAGCATACAAAATCCCAGGAACTCTTCTTGTGCGCATTGATGCCGCCATCTACTTCTCCAATTCTAACTACATCCGTGAGAGGTTTGACAGTTCAAGTTGTCTCCGAATCCTTACTGAAAGCTTTCCCCAACAGAGTTTTGAGATACGTGAACGAAGAGGAGGAAGTGATCAAGAAAGCCAACGGAACCTCACTGCAATACGTTATCGTCGACTTAACACGTAAGTACTTTGTGCTTTACTTCTCCAAGGCAGGCTTTCATCTTTGCTTGGCTTCGCAAACTTCACAGCGGTTATGAGCATCGACACAACAGGAATCCATGCGTTCGAGGAGCTACTGAAAATACTAAGGAAGCGAGGCCTACAAGTGAGTGCTGTAAATCGAAGTTCTCCATTTAATCCTGATGAAACTCTTGGGATTTTTTTTTCGCAGCTAGCGATTGCAAACCCAGGCTCTGATGTCATGGAGAAGCTCCACATTGCCAAGTTTCTGGAAGAACTGGGCGAAGAATGGGTGTTCCTAACGGTAGGACAGGCCGTACAAGTGTGTACCAGGCTGCTCAAATCAGCCGATGTTTAAAGGCCTTACTTTTGCTTGAATGTAAATTAAGAATATGCGATGGTATCTTATTGCCGTTGCGAATGGAATATCTAGTGGCATATTCGCCAGGGTTTTCTATATTTCTTGTCTGGCTGGGGCGACGTTCTTGGTTCCAAGGAGGAGCCGCCACCGATTCGCGACACCCGATTTGCTGCCCTTGTAAGTAATGCGCGATCTCTGCCCGGTGGGATCGATGCGATTCACGAGACGAGCACGTGAATCGTCTGCGAATCCGTGTCGGGGCCGATCGCCAGGCGCTTGATGACGGAGGTGCGATTGTGAGTGACAGAGATCTCGTACTCGCCGTGGAATCCCTGGAAGCTGAAGCTCCCCTCGTGATCGGTGGTGCCGCTCAGCCCCACTGTCCGGATGTTCTTGAGGAAAACGTCCACGGTATTTCCAGCGGGCAAGTTCTTGAAGTTCTGATCGGTCAGGCACATCCGGTAGCAGCCGTAGGGATGCAGCGCCGTCCACAGGACGATTCCTTTCACTGCTGGGTGGGAGAATGCCTCGCGGAGTACCTGCTGGAGATAGATTGCCTTCGATCATCGCAGACAAAGAGAAAAGAGAAAAGACAAGGCATTAGTAGCTCCTCGAGGAGGTGAGTGAGAGCTTTTGTTTCTTCTTACTTGGTTTTCGCTGTCAACACTGTTCATGATATCGACTTCCGTCAGCCAGATTGGGAGCTCCAGCGTCGCAAGCTTGTCGAGGACTGCTCGCATGTAAACGAGATTGGGCTTGCCGGAGAAGTGTCCCTCCAGTCCAATGCCGAGCTTTTTGATTCCTGCGGCTTTCATCTCGAGCAGCCTGTGGACGTAGTTGTCGGGTAAGCTCATCGAGTCCTGTGGTACCTCGATCACGTTGAAATCGTTGAGAAACAATGTTGTTTCAGGATCGATCTCCTGGGCGAATTTGTAGATCTCCACAGCCGCGTTGCTGCCGAGCTTGCTCTCGAAGAAGTTGAAGTGGAGCATTTCGTTGAGAACGTCCCACTGTGGAAGCTTGCCAGCGTAGTGACTCATGACGGACTCTATACGGGACATTGTGGCGGTTCTCAGCTCCGAGTCGCTCAAGTCTTTCACCCATCCAGGCTGGTACTGTGGATCGTTCCAGAGAACGTTGTGCCCTCTGACCAAAATGTTGTTGGCTTTGCAGAAATCCAGCATTTTATCGGCCGTCTCATACGAGACTTTGCCTTGTTGCCGCTCCGTAGAGTACCACTTCATCTCGTTCTCGAACACAGCAGTGTTGAATCGCGTCACGAACCATTTCTGGCAAGCACGCCGAAGTCAGCAACGTATCTTTTAGATTTTTTTTTTTGCTTACTTGATATGTCGGGTTGTCCAGGATTGTGGATGCAATTGCTGAGCCAAATGGGAAGTCGCCAGTGATCTGCTCCACTTGGATGTCTGCATTGTGGATTCCATGGCCTTTGCAATCCGTGACACTCAGGGTCACGGATCTGGTTCGGCTCTGTCACGTCAGCAGGCACATCACAGGTTAGCAGCTAGCATTTTGTTCGATTTGCACACCTTTTTTATGCTGATATCTTGGTGCTTGCTCCACTCCTCGTCTGAAAAGGGCTGAAGCGAGGCACTGTCCAGCCAAATGTCAACCTTCGGATCGGAGCTCTGCACGACATTGGTACACCAAATGCGCACGTTTGGTAACGGAGAACAGAGAAACAGGGTCGTTAAATTCACCTCGAAGTACAGAGTGGCGGATGAAGCATTGAACTCGGGAATAAATCCTCCCTTCAGGAACGTCCAGCACTTGTTCCTGGCTGCGACGCTCCCGGCTGAAATGTATTGCCCGTTGGCCTTGATGGTGGCCTTGACCAGAGGAGCGGTATCATCACTTCCACCGTTCACTTGCAACCAAGCTGTAAGTTTTCCAAGTAGGTAGAGATTGATCAGTATACACGAGTTTTTTCTTCGGTGGTTAATGTTGTTGTTTGTTGGTTGTCAGCAGAGATTCGATTTTCAACATTGATTTTCGCACCTGAGAGAGTGTACTTGGACCCCTGCGTAAGATTCGCCAGGGCTTGTGAGGGGCCGTGAAATCCAGCGTTCCGATTGGTTGCAACGAGGAACTTGTTCCTGCCTTGGACCTGGATCTTGAGAGTGCAGCCCCCGAATGGGGACCAGCCGAGAAGGTCCGCGTCGAATGCGGGGTTTTTGAGAACACCTCCGTTGTACAGGGGACTTGTGGGAGCAGCCAGACACTGCGTGGGGACAGAGCAACAGAAACAAACGGTCTCAACTGCTGAAGACTATAAACAAAGTGAGTAAGCTGTTAAAGTTTCACCTCGGAGAATGCAGTTTGATCATAACTCCCGTGCTCTGTGGCAGGAGGACAGCAGAGCAATTAGACATATTGAATTGGCCAAGAAGCGAAAGAAACGAGTTGAGTGATGAATTCGAACCTGGTGGTGCCGGTGGTGATGGATCTGGTTTGCGATGATGAGGATGTCCCCGCTCAACAGCTCGAGAGAAGGAGGCATTGAAGTCCGTCTCGAGCGGGCAGAATGCAGAGAGCTGGAAGAGGATGGGAAGGACGAGCGAGGAGGAAGGCATTGAGCTGAAGTGGTGGCTCTCTTCCAGCATTGAGGACAGATTTTTTATAGGAGGGAGGGGAAGAAAAAGAAGCAGGGGGGCGGGGGAGACAAACGCTGGCCAAACAGTGTCGCCGCTCAACTTGCTGCAAATGCGAAGCTCCTTTACTGTGGCATCAAGAATGAGGGAGGAGGAATTCGGTGCGGAGTAGAAGCAATGAGCAGAGGGAATCAATCAACAGATTTGGCCGCTTCTTCGTGCTTGGTTCTGCGGCGTCGTCGTCGTCATGGAATGGAGCGAAGCAGTTTATATATATATATCCGTTCTTCGTCCCTTGGAGGCGCCGTGGAAACAAGCTTTTGCTTGTGGGGTCCCGGACGGAAGGGAATGCTGTACACAGCAAGCTCTTGAGCGGCGAAGAAGAAGAAGAAGAAGAGGAAGAGGAAGGAAACTTGGCGTGCCGTAAGAGTGTGCAATTAGCGCAAGCAACGCTTCTTATCCCCGAGAAGAAAGAAGAGACGAGCACTGTTTTCTAAGTAAGTGGTTGCTTTGCTTTCTTCCTCGTCCTGTGCTTGTGATCTAATATTTGCTTGCCTATTATGTATGCAGTGGGGCGGCCACTTGGAGAATCATGAGCGATCCCAACGGACATCAAACAATGCCTGGATTTCTTTCCGGTGGCGCTCATGCGTCTCGCCGCAACCATGCACAACAAAAAGTAAGACCCCTTTATTTTGCAATCTTCTTTTTCCCTTTGGCCGAACGAACTAACGAACGCAGGCGCGCGTGCATGATTCGGGACAAATCGGTGTGCGGTGTGCGGTGTGCCTTGAATCTCACGGTTGCGCTTCTACTTTTCATGAAGAACACAAAGCCCCACCCGAGCCAAGGTATGATTTTTCTTTTCTCTCCTTACTTTTGTAAAACGTCAGCGCAGTGTGTGTGTGAGAGAGAGAGAGACAAACACAAACACAAGACACACAGAGAGGAGGGAGAGTGGCACAGGGGACCCTCCATGTTTGCAAAATGCCCAGCACAAAAAGGTTATACAGCAATTTCTCACGAGAAAAAGTTGCAGGCCCGCGGCTGTGAACACATGTGAAAAAGCGGAGGGGGAAAAAGGAAGGTTTTTTCTCCTTTCTCAAGGCTGCCTTTGCTGCAACTGGGAGGAGACATGGAGGGTGGCAACTTTTCTTACCACACAGCTTGAAACTACCTTTTTCCATCAATGCCTTCAGATTTAGGGCAAGTATTTCCAATTTTTTATGGTTAATTTGGCTTACAGTGTTTAACCTTTAGTGTTTTGTTTGCTTAATGTTAGTGGTTGTGGTGTGGTGTGGGTGTTGTGGACTAACTGACTTCATTAAAATGAAAGTAAGCCCTTTGATGAATTCTATCAATATAGAATTATTACACAAAACTTTATTTTTTATTTGATATTGGTGAAATTTGAAATTATGAGGTCTAAGTCCAAAGTGTAGAGCAATAATGCTATTTATGTTATTTATGAAATTTTGATATCCATCGGATTGATTTCAATCCAGACCATTTGCTCTTGTGTAATTTTTTGGAAATAATATTTTGTAATTATAAAATCAAATAGAAAAAACATAAAACAAACATTGATTAGTAAAAAGTACAAATATTGATGATTATAACCGAACTAGTCTTTGCTAATTGGCAAACCAAATGAGTGATTAGAACTAGTCTTTCTTGGGTTTGGGGAACAACCTCATACTTGATTTGTACGTCCACGCATGTCGCCCTCCATGGCGGGCATCATCAACATGGCAGCACCGCAAATGTCTCCCCGCATCTCGATGGCGCATTTGCATTTGCATTTGCCCCGTTTTAAATTGTGATGCTGCTGCTGGAGCGAGGCGCGTGCATCCAGCTGCTCCAAAAGTGCTCGAGCCCCGCCGCGGCAACCTTCCTCCACTCGCACATCCGCCATTTCCTCGACGCCCACGACGTGTTCGTCCACAACAAGCTCATCGAGATGTATGGGCGATGCGGCAGCACAGGAAAGGCCAAGCAGATCTTCGATTCGATGCAGGAGAGAGACACCTTCACCTGGAACCTGATGATCGCCGCATTTGCCCGCAGCAGGCAGCTGGACCTCGCGCAGCAAACGTTCGATCGAATGCCCAATCCGGACCTTGTGACATGGAACACGATCCTCACTGCCTTCTCGCTTGCCGGGGATCTCTCGACGGCAAAGCAGCGCTTCAACGAGATGCCGGCGCGGAACCTCGTGTCGTGGACCGCGATGCTTTCTGCATATGCCCGGAATGGGCATCTGTTTGGAGCCAAAAGCGTCTACGGCGAGATTCCGGAGTGGAGCCTGGTGTCGTGGAACGCGATGCTGGCAGCTTGCACGCAAAACGGCGATCTCTTGGGCGCCAGACAGGTCTTTGCGTCGATGGAGGAGTACAGCCTCGAGTCGTGGACGGCTATTGTTTGCGCAAATGCCGCACAAGGGCATCTAGCCGAAGCGAAACGTTTGTTCGACAGGATGCCCGAGGGGGACATTGTGTCCTGGACTGCGATGCTCGCGACGTATGCGCAGACTGGAAATGCGTTCCAGGCAAAGAAATTCTTTGACGCCATGCCAGAGCTTGATCTCGTGTCCTGGACCGCAATGCTTGCAGCATATGCCATGAACGGGCATCTTAATGAGTCGAAGTCTGTGTTTGATTCTATGCGCGAGAGGAACCTGTTTTCTTGGACGGCTATGCTGGCTGTGTATGCGGGAAAGGGGTTTCTGGAAGAGGCAAAGTTTCTGTTTGATTCTATGCCGGAGCGTGATGCCGTGTCCTGGACAGCAATGCTCTCTGGATTTGCGCAAAATGGGCATTTGGAGGAGGCCAAGTCGATGTTTGATGCAATGAACGAGCGCCATCTTTTCTCGTGGAACGGGCTTCTTTCCGCATACGCTCAAAACGGAAATCTCGATCAAGCACTCAAGATCTTTGATCGAATGCACGAGCGCAACACAATCTCGTGGAATGCCGTCCTTGCAGCGTACTCTCAAAACGGCCATCCCTCTACTGCAATCCAGATCTTCAAAGAGCTCAAACTCCTGGGCGATCCTCCAGACGAGATTGCCTTCCTTTGCAACCTCATCGCATGTAGCCACGGAGGAAAACTCCGCAATGCTGGTGACTCGTTTCGATCCATGGTCTCGGACTTTGGAATCCCGGCGAGCAAGCTACACTACCGGTGCCTGATCGATCTCCTGTGTCGCTCGGGATACCTTGGCGAGGTGGAGGAGCTACTGGCAACGATGCCATTCTTCCCGGATTCGTGGGACTGGACTTGCTTTCTCGGTGCTTGCAAGGGTCACCGAGACGTGGATCGAGGGAGCCGAGCGACAAAGAGGGCCATGACTCTCGATCCAGAGAACCCCGCTCCATACGTCTTCATCTCTAACATCTTCCAGGAGCTATAGTCCTGCCAAACAGGATTTCTTAGAAAACAACTTTACAAAGACTTTATCTGCGAGGGAAAGATATACTAGACTATATCATGGATCATTTTTCCAGCCAGTTGGTTTGAATTTCAAGAAAGTTGGTAAACCTTGTCATCTATCAGATCTTAGGAGCAACTTAGTGCATTTTTTCTCAGTTTTCGGGATGGAAAGATATTTGGCGTTCCTCAGCCATGGCATTCCAGCGATTGGATTCATCTCTTGGGGACTCGCGCTCTTTGTCACAGCTGCAGCTCACAGACGAAACAACAATGAATCTCAATCACTTGCCGCAAAGCGGATCGAGTTCTACAGCATCTTCCTCGGGAGCTCAGGAGTGATTGTGTTCCACTGCATTGTCCAGCCAACACGAAGCTATCCCGACGTGGAGCACATTTCCATGGCTCTTCCCTTCATAATTTACGCACTCGCTCTGCGGTGGAAGGCAAAACTATCAAATAGTTTTGTAAATCTCCTGGGAGCCGCTGCTTTTGCCCAGGAATTCATCCTCTTTCACTGGCATTCCACGGATCACAAAGGCGTGGAAGGACACTATCATGCGCTGCTGCAAATCATTGTGGCCGCTTGTATGTTTACGTGCTTGGGCGAGGCCCTTTTCCACAGGAAGCTAACTATCAGGCTTTTAAGATCATTTTGTATCCTCTTTCAGGGAGTTTGGCTGCTTCAGCTGGCACTGCTGCTTGTGTTTCCTTCGGAGTTCCTGCCTCCAGATTGCCGATTGTTTCTTCATCGCCACCAGAAGGTCGCATGCAGCAGCGAGAAGCTTATCATGCAATCCAAAACTGTGGCGACCTTGCTTTTTAGTTGGTACTTCTCTTTGCTGATGGCAGCAAGTGCTATAGCTTATGCTTGGATTGAGAGAAACGCTATGAGATATTGCCCTGTTGGCTCGTTGGAAGATGAAGAGACGAGAGCTTTGACTAATTTGTTTTAAAGCAAAGAAAAAGAGATCGTGGAAACCTGCAAAGTTCGTATTTAATCTTTACTGTTTTAGATTCTTTAAACTAATCCAATGACAATCTAAAACGCTCCGAGCAACGCATATCATAGAATGGTTCTAACTGGAATCTTGTCTAGCGTGTAGTTAGAACTGGCACCAATCATCCCCACGATCAAATTTGATACGCACGTCCGGACGAACACGTTTCCCTCAAGATCTAGTTTTTTACTTGCAAGAGGAATCATTGATGATTAAAGACTGCAGTGCCCAGAACTTCGATCGGAGCTGACAGTATACTCTTCTTGATTGAATGGCAAACAGCTTGGTGGTGTTCTTGAGTCATGGGATCCCAGCGTTCGGCTTTATCTTCTACGGGATCTCCCTCTTTGTCACCAATTGCCTAGGAGCTCCTCGAGGATCAAACGAGCTCAAAGAGAGTCGACTGCTAGCCCTTGCAAAGCGAGTCGAGTCTTACATTGCCCTTCTCGGAAGCGCAGCGGTCATCGCCTTCCACTGCATTGTCCAGCCAACGCGAAGCTTTCCGGACTTGGAGCACATAGCCATGGCTCTTCCGTTCTTCATCTATGGACTCGCTCTACGCTGGAAGGCAAGCTTGCCGAGTGGCTTCGCGGATCTCATGGGAGCAGCTGCTTTCGCCCAGGAATTCCTCCTCTTTCACTGGCATTCCTTGGATGACACGGGTGTGGAATCCCACTATCACGCTCTCTTGCAAATCACCGTCATGGCTTGCGCTCTTACAAGCTTGGGCGAGATCTTTGTGCGACACCACCAGACCACCATCAAGCTTTCCAGGTCGATCTCTATCGCCTTTCAGGGCGTCTGGCTGCTCCAACTCTCGCTGGTATTTGTCTTTCCTTCGCTGTTCCTGGATCGAGATTGTCAAGTCAACAGTCACCACGGCCACATTCGGATCGAGTGCGCAAACCAAGAGCTTGCCAACAAATCCAAAGCCGTGGCGACGATGGTTTTTAGCTCTCATCTTTCTTTGCTAATGGCAGCGTGTGCCACACTGTATCTTCTGATTGAGAAAAGAGCTTCTTTTTACAGCCCAGTTGGGACGAATTCGTGGGATGATCAAGCATAGTTCTTCCCAAAGATTGTGGAAAGCATATACTTGTATATTCAAAGAATATTCTTCAACCTTAAATAAACATGGCGAGATTCACGCGACGAGTGCCTTTGCGCCCTCCGGCCAATGCGTGAGAATGAGCTCCACTACCTCTTCGTCGCTATCCTTGTCTACCACTGCTTCATCTTCTTGATGATCCCGCTCGACTGGATGATCTTCGTGTTCCAAGCCAAGAGCTCGAGCACCATCCTTCCAGTTCCTTCGAATCCAGACCAGGTCCGCATCGTCGTAGAAATCAGCTCCCACAGCCGTGGAGAGCGTCTGGAACTCGTCCCATGTCAACACGCTGGCAGGCTCGTCATCCAGGGAGATGACTTCCACAACCTCACTGCTGCTGGCTGCCTGAGACTTTGATCTCTTCTCGTCGCGTTCCTTGCGAAAAGCTTCCCAGATCTCCTGCATCTCCCTGTCTCCAAACTCTTGCTCCGCGCAGGTCTTTGCCAAGCTGTCGATCTCCTCCTGCGAGATCTTACACCTCCTTGGAGGTGAAGTGGACTCGATTTTGCTGCTTGAAACGTTGCGGAGCTGTTCTTCCGGAGTCGCAGGAACGATTGTCACGTCGGAGTCATCCGGAGTTGCGGGAACAATGACTACGTCGTCGGAGTCATCCAGAGTTGCGGGAACAATGACTACCTCGTCGTCGTCGTCACCGTTAACTTCGTCGTCCGAGGAGACATAGATAATCTGAGCGTCTCCCGAGCCATCGTCGCTGATGTCGCCAGCATCATCCTCGTCGCTTAAGCAAATCAGTTCTGCAGCACTGGATTGCTGAGTAACTCCTCCGAACGGAGATTTTATGCTTCGACCTTTCGGCTCGATCTTCGCAGTACTTGCTTTAGACGTTCCACAGATGTCCGGAATAGTTGGAGCTGCAGGAACTAGTTCCGAAACCTGCTGAGATGGTCGAGCATCAGAGTTGATACCCACAGCATTCGGCGTTTGATGGCGTAAACGCAATGGATGGCGGGAACTTACAGGACATTGAGGTGTCGGAGCTGCTGCTTGAAGCATAGGATCAGGACTTATAGACTGCGATGGAGCTGGTGCCCGACTTCCTTGAACTGGAACATCTGTGGCCGTTGGACTAGTCACAGACTGCCGAGAGGAGAAAACGTTTGTCGTCGTGTTGGCACGACGTCGTTCGTCATCTGGCAGCGTTCGAGGTTGGGGAGCCACAGCCTTATCCGAGGAAGTTACTGGAGGAACAGGATCATGACCTTCACGAGCTTGAGCTTGAGGAGTTCCTCTACTAGAACTTCCACCATTCGAAGGAAGTCCTTGATCTCTTTCTCTGGTCATTGGCTGCGTTTGGCCACCACGTCCTTGGGCTTTGGTCCAAAGCCAAGCTCGATATATGGTGTCCTCAACGTAAGCTTTGTCAGTGGCAGGAACTGGTAAAACATACGGTCGAGGTGGAGCTCCTGCCCGACTTCCTTGAACTGGAACATCTGTGGCCGCTGGACTAGTCACAGACTGCCGAGAGGAGAAAACGTTTGGCGTCGTTTTGGCACCACGTCGTTCGTCATGTGGCAGCATTCGAGGTTGGGGAACCGTAGCCTTATCCGAGGACGGTGCTGGAGGAACAGGATCATGACCTCCACGAGCTTGAGATTGAGGAGTTTGAAGAACACCAGAACTTCTACCATTCGAAGGAAGTCCTTGATCTCTTTCCCTGGTCACTGGCTGCGTTTGGCCACCACGTCCTTGGGCTTTGGCCCAAAGCCAAGCTCGACATACGGTGGCCGCAACATCAACCGGTCCAGGTGGTGGATCACAGCTTCTTGTACTTCCAAGATGATCTCGAGTTGGTGCCAAACGTGGAACGTCCACTTCGGAAGAGGTCGCTACTGGAGTTGGAAAAACACTCGGAGGAGCTTGAGTTCTTTGGCTGGTCGTTGTTCCTCGATTGCCAGTCCCACCATAACCAGAGCCCGAGAAAGCTTGAGTGCCATGGCTGATCGACGTCGTGCCTTGATCGCTGATGATAAACTTTTGCAGTGGCCTTCCCGAGGCCGCTCCCATATGAGCTAAACGATCGGCTGCCTCGTTTCCAAAAATGTTGGCATGAGCTTTCACTTTGAAGAGGTGAATTCGCTGGACTTTGCTTTGCTGAGCAGCGGCAGCAATGGCAACGAGGATGTTCTCGTAGACGTGATAGCGAAGATTGGATGGCTTGCGCTGGAACTTTTCCACCAGATAGAGCGACTCCAAGCTATCCGTGTAGAGAAAAATGCTCGTCTGCTTCCAGAAGCTTTGGACGTAAACAATGCCTTCGAGGATCGCAAGCAGCTCCATCGTCATGGATGACACTTTGTGAGTTGAGAGATCGATCTCTAGTGGCATGGGCCGTGATGGATCCGAGCTCAGCTGGAAAGTAATGGTGCTCCCAACGATCACATTCCGAGCCAAGCAGTGGTTTTGCTCCTGGCAGCGGTAGAAAATGCCATAGCCAGCCTTGTTCTGGGCAGAAATGAAAGAACCATCCGTGAAAACGTTGAAAGGTAGCGTCGAGTTGATCTCATCGGCACTGTGCTCCTTCGTGCATATCAGGAAGCGAAAACCCCCATAAAAGACGTGAGGATGATCTGCCACAACCGCCGGGAACGCTTCTTCTCCCTGCAGCAAATGATTCTCTCGAACAAAAGCCACGAAATCTTCCGCCGCTGTCACATTGCTCCTTCTATAAACCCTCGTCTTCTTCTTCTTCTTCCTCTTGTAGATCACTCCTCTCGGCCGCAGGAGCTCACACCTTCCCCCATAATCGATCATCAACCCTCTTCTCTTACCCGCATTCCACTCCTTCACATTGCTCGCCGCCGCGATCGACGATCAAAGCTCCCGCCTCGTTCAAAACATTAAAGAACCCTAAGAAATATCATACTTTAAAGTAAAATGGTAACGTTAAATACCCCTAACCAGTGATAAAAGGAGGGTGAATAAAGTTGGAATATCTTTCTTTTTTGTTGCTCAAGGACTTTAAAGTTGATGTCTTTGCCTTTATTTAATTAGTTAAATTGAATAAATAAGTAAATTATTTTTAAAATTCATTGCTTCTACATCTTGGAGTATACATAGAAAAAAATCTGCCATAATTATAACAAGCAATTTGTGATATCAGTTTTGCACTACGAGATCATTTTCCCATGCCTTTTGTGGACTCTGTCATTGATGAGTTAGTAGGCCGTCACTTCTACTCTTTTATGGATGGGTTCTTGGGCTATAACCAACTTTCATCCATCTAGATGGTCGTGAGCTCAAAGCATTCAAGACACCTTAGAGGGTATTTGCATACAATGTGTTGCCATTCGGGCTTTGCAATGTAGGAGCCATATTCCAGCGGTTTATGACTTATGCATTCCATGATATTCTGAGGGACACTCTTCAAGTATACATGGACGATCTCTGCCTGGCCTCCACCACATTTGATGACCACCTTCACCACTTGGAGCAAGTTTTCCTCCATTGCTGACATCATCAATTCGTTCTCAACCCGGTGAAGTGTAAGTTCGGCATCACCAAAGGCTGCCTCCTCTGTTTTGATATCTTTTGTGATGGAATCCAGCCACATAATGCAAAGAGAAAAGAGATTCTCAACTCTTATCCATTAAAGAGAAACTGTGTGCAAATGTGGGTGGAAGCAGTTCCTCTTTAATATGCAGATCAACTTTCCACAGCAAAGTTCCTCTATGAATCAATTTTTTGCAGATTCGGCATCCCAGTAGTCTTCATTTCCAATTGTGGAGGAGCATTCTTGGGCCAAGTTGTTGAGCATCTCATGGAAAGGTTGGACGTTCAACACACTTTGAGTAATAGCCATTTCCCTTAAGCGAACGGCCAGGTAGAGTCCTCCAACAAGACCTTAAAGTTCATCCTTGGCAAGCTAATGGCTGATCATCCTCACCAATGGCATGACCACTTACTTTAATCCACCACTCAAATTCTCTCTGAGGTGGTAGGGATCATTCTTCATCCAATAGTGTCTTGGTCATGGTTCTTACACCTAGGCTCTGCCTTCAATTTGATGAGGCAGTCCTGGCACCACGGGAGGTGAGGTTGATGCAAGCAAATTTGTCATGCCTGCCTCCTTGTGAGTGGAGGGCGCTGGAGATCTCACCCTCCCTCTCTCCAATGATGGCTTTCTCAAGCTCAAGGCCATGTTGCAGCAAGCACCCTATGGAAAGGGCAAGGAAACTTTGCTCAACATTGAGGATGGTCATGAGCTTCCCCATGCTCATAACCACAGCCACCTCAAGGCCATCTGGTGACCTCTTTCCTTTCTTTTCATTTTCTTTTCTTTTCTTTGTTGTTTTCACTTGTTTCTCATGTCTTATCAGGTACCAACACAAGCTCAAGCTTGGATTTCAGCCTTGAGATGGCCTTAACTCCACTCGTCTGGGAGTTTGTTCATCTTTTGGCCTTTCCCCTTGGTTCCCAGGTTTTTGTCTCTATCACTTTCAGGAATACATCCTTTTCTTCATTTCCATCCACTTACATTCATAAATCATCACTCTATTCACTTTCACAATCACTGCATTCCATCATCACAAATACCCTCTCGGTTTTTCATCATTTCCACACCATGCATATATGTTATTTGGGATCTTTCAACATCACTCTATCTGGAAGACTTTCAACAATACAACGCAACAAAAATCACATTTTTTGGACGTCAGAGACAAAAGATACAACTCAAACCATCACAACATAAAAACTTGCGGCAAATCCAAGGACAATCCAACTCTTTTCTTCAGTCGGTTGGGCTTGCAGGCATCCAAACACTCATCAATGGAGCAGACAAAAATCCTCAATCCATCTACTTCTAGCTGTGTTTAGCCATAAAAGCCATTTCATCTTGGGTTGCACCATGCACTACATTAAATTCTGATGGCATATTAGCTGTTACTTCCAATCTTGTTACATCACATCACGCATAGTCTTTTTCTCTATCATCTACC